ATATTTGTTTTAAATAAAAACAATATCTCCTCATCAGGCCATGTTGAATGAGAGAATGCATCTATGAGCCAGTGGTACTTCCAAATCAATTAGTTTTCTTAAATGTAGCATTGCAGCTAGGTTTTTAGTTTAACTAACAATTTCATATATTCTGACAGCATTGGCATACCTTCAGAGATATATCCAGAGCTGATAAGCTCATGTTATTGTAGCACCCCTAGTCCTATATCATACCAAGAACAGAGGCGCTAACATCTTCCTAGGTTCGTAAAGTGGTATGCCGTGAATAACTCTGGGAAGAGTTAGATTTTAGTTGAAGATTTTACAATGTTATTGCCAGCAGGGTTCAACAACATTTACATTCAATTGTGCCAACAATATGAAAAGGAATGAAAATAAAAAATAGAGCTCTTTACCACACAAATGGAAATAGTCAACATGTTAAGCCTCGTGTGTGGTGTGCGTGTGCGTGTGTTGCTATGGCTCTTCTACCCGGGTAGAGCTAATAGTGTACTGGTTCTTATCTGGATCAGATCAGTGTGTATTCAGCAGGATTCTTCAAATCACGCGTCCTCTGTAGGCAGGTCCAACGGTAGGCCACACCGCTTCCAACAACCGCTCACAGATTCACTGGGCTTTGCTCGCCATCAATCCCAAGTCAGATTGGATCTGGCTCACTGACATCAATAAAAAAAACAACCTGCACGAATAGTGCAGAATATTATCTTTCTGTTATATCACAATCTTATAAACATCTTTAGTTAGCATGTTTCAACATATGAACAGTAACTTAAATCACATTTCATTTATAATGAAATGATTTACCTTCATCACCAATGTGTATTTTAACTAGTGATAATTAACTTGTATTTCTTAACAACACATCTTACATTCACGTTGAAATACACAAGAGATACACTTGTTGTTTTTAACTATCAGTTTAACTGTTTTCAACCACTTTTAAAAGTTATTATTAAGTTATTCTTAACATGAACATGAACAGATATTGCAGTCAGCATGTAGCAGCACTACAGCTAATGAAACAAATTTAAATAACTAAAAAAATGGTTTTAAGTAAAAGAAGAGCAATGCTCTTTAATATCTAGCTATGCTATCAGCTTCTGTTCTATGGAACTAACACGTGGTGTTAGCCGTTAGCTTCTGCTAGCGTTTAGCATCAACTTACAGTTAGTGCTAGCTAGCATCGCTAACTCGCGATTAGCATAAGCTAACGATCTTATTACAATGGTTTAACAATGATACAATGTGCACCAAAATACATCAAAAACATTAGACATCACTTTCATAACCCCGATTGGTTTTTAAATAAAATGTATCTTATATAAACAACAAAAACTGACTGTCATTGTCATATTAGCAGGCTAGCCCTTCAGTGCTAACAAGGAGCTAACAGCCTCAACTCACCGGAGTTTCTACACTTATAAGAAGACACAGGCTGTCGTCTTCTAGTTCGGGTTCACACAGGGGTCCTTGCAGGTCAGAGTTTGGTTCAACTTGATATA